GCGTGAGGTTCCGTGCATGAATGAGAAGATGGATCATTGGGGCGCAGCCGTGGGGGGCGGAAGGCGGAGATGTTATCTCCCTCGCCTGGTAGGCAGGAGATCGTGGGTTCGATCCCGACCCTGACGATGCCTGTATATTTGGTGTATGCGTGTTCTCTCTACCACGTGGTCGCGTGGATTTTTCTCCGGGTGCTCCGTTTTCTCCCTTCACATTTAGAATCAACATCACGCTTTTAAGAGTATTTCGCTGCTATAAATTCCCAGCTATCAATTGTGGCCAGGCCACTTCTTAAAAAGACAGAAATAGCTCAGTGGGCCTTACCTGGTGAAATAAAAAATTGTTTAAATAGTTTTAGAATGTGCGGCGACGGGGGGGACAGTGTGCCACCATTATCGTGAGCCACGAGCGATCCACTGCTTGGTGAAGGCCCGCTGCCCACGCCGTCGCCACCCGTCGCGGTCCTTTCAATGCCACAATCCGTCTGTCTCCTGCACGAGAGCCGACCTCGTCGCTCCACCTCCGCAGTGGCTGTCCTCGTGGGCGTGCTCCCTCCTTTGCCTGCTATTCCATTGCCCTCCTCGTACCCTGCTAGTCAAGCGTCAACAGCCCTTAGCCCGCTTACTGTGATGCGTCTCGTGAGAATTGCCCCCCTGATCCATGTGCTCAGCTCTCTCTCTCTCTCTCTGTCTCAGTGCAATTCTGCAGCATCTAATTAACACTTAAAAACTTAAATACTCCAGCCATCCGGGGCCAAAATCCAATCCGCGTTTTGCCGAATTCGCCAACCTCCTCCGAGTTCATGCGCGGATCACAGAAGGACTGCGCGATGCAGCCTGCTCTACGAGTGGACGTGGAATCCTGGACCAGATTGTGGAACAAAGGGGCTGCAGTTCCGATCCTCCATCCTCTTTACGCCAGGCAGCACAAGTTCACCAATCATCAGGCGCACGTAGCATGTCATAACTAATTCTGTATAATAAGTTATACCGAAACTCCAGTTTAGGCATGTCAGCCAAACTGGAGTTTCGGAAAGACCACGGTATAATCGTATCGGTGTCACTGGGCCAGGGGACGATCACTGCTCACTCTCCACAAAGCGGTACCTAATTTTATCGACCCCAGAGAGATTATGGGCCGAGTCGACCAGCCGACTAGGATTTTCAGCCAAACGCACAACCCTTCCGTCCGCGAGCGAGGCCCTCCGATCGCAGCCCCAGCTATGACAGCCGCGCGGAGTCGAACCCCAGACATCCGCACGGGCAACGCAGGACTGCTTTGTCGAGCACAATTAACGCCCGCAGCCGTTGAATCGCGCCTTTGTCTCGCTCATCGCACTTAATCAGGGCAGTGCTATCCGTCACGGGCGACAGCGACGGTGCTTCATCGCACGTCTCATCTTAAACGCTCGAAGAATTTCTCGTTTACGAACTCCTCTGCACTACATCCTCTTATATTGCAGTTGTTATTTTAGCGGGCGCTTGGCGAGGGACATTTAGGGATGCGAGGTCTCGAGGATGAAGTAAACAAAAGGTCAAACAGGCCCCGATTTATGGCCATGGAAGCATCCCTCCCGGCAGTAGCTCATGGAAAAATTATAAAAAAAATGTTTTTGGCCCAGCGCACAGCAGAGGGGGGGGGGACAGCCATTGCCACCGCCGCCGCTATACCGAGCTCATTTCATGCCGAGTCAACCTAGGGGGCACTCAAGAGGATTCAAATGGCAAAAACTGTCAGTAACACACCACAGTAACACAGGGCAGTAACAGTAACACAGAGTAACACAAAGTCACAGAGTAACACAGTAACACACCTCATTAACACACAGTAACACATCACAATAACATACAGTAACACACCTCATTAACACACAGTAACACACCACAATAACACACCACATTAACACACAGTAACACACCACAATAACACACCACATTAACACACAGTAACACACCACAATAACACACCACATTAACACACAGTAACACACCACAATAACACACCACATTAACACACAGTAACACACCACAATAACACACCACATTAACACACAGTAACACACCACAATAACATACAGTAACACAGCACATTAACACACAGTAACACACCACATTAACACACAATAACACAGGAAATGGCCCTTCTGCATAGCAGAGAGATAGAGAGGCCAGAGATACTGAGTGAATAATGATAGAATAATAGTGCATGATAGTAAAATTATAAGTTAATATAATGATAGTGAAAAGTAATATTATAATAGTGAAAAGTAATGTTGTAATAATCGTGAATGTGGTGGCGGGTTTTAACGACACATTTATAAATTGACGCGATCTAACCCAAAAAACCTCTATGAAGAATAATTGTAATATGATAATAATAGTGAACAATAACAACATTATAGTAATAGTGAAACATAGGAATGCACGAAATGTCATGGGCCCATGCTATTAATGTATCTTAAAACTAAACGTGTCAAATTCTACTCATGGAGTCTCGTTGGCCTCCCTATCTCCCTGCTTTTGAAGTACGACCCAGTGACCTATAGTAGAATATATCCTCTTAAGGCGCACACAGCATTATGGACGGACGCGTTAAACTCCTTGCTGTTGCAGTGTCTGCTCGTGTAATACCGCCTGAAGCAGCGTCACAATTTATTATGAATTTTTTGCTTTAATTCCTGAGACTGTGGCCCACTTGCGTCGGAGTCTACCCGGCAAAGAAGGCCACCCGCGCAAACCGTTCACCGCCAGTCGACCCTCGATGCGCACGCACGTAACCTAATCCACGGCGGGCTTGATCTCGGGGCTCCAAAGCTCAATTTCATTCCGAGTCGACCGAGCGGCGGATCTCTCTCTCTCTCTCACCCCACGGCGGCGGTGATGCCGTTCGCGGGGGGGGCGGGGAACGCACGAGGAGACGTGCAGGCCGACGTTGTAAACACAGCTGCTGCTGCTGCCAACTCGGAGAACTCCAACAAAACAAGGTGCGTGCCCCGAGCTGCCTGATGATAATTTTCTGACACCAAAAATAGGGGAGGAATTCGCGAAGGGGGAAAACACGAAAAGTACGAAAGTCAACACACGTTGCCTCTGAACCCTGAAGACCATTGCAGTATCGTGCGTCAGGGGTGAAGGGAAATCGTTCCTTTGGATAGAGCTAATCCGATTCGGGATCTTTGATTTATCTTGGAGAAATCCGATGAGCTATGAAGCTCTTTTTCACAGATGTCCAGGCGGGGCGGGCCAAAAAGTCACAGCAACAAACAATGCAGACAAGAAAGGACGGGAGTGCACAAAGTATAGGGAAGGTAAGCAAATCACTAAGAATAAATCAAGAAACAAACTAAAACTAAACACATTCTTGGTTCTTTCGGTAAAGTCACGTAGAGGGGAAATAATAAAATAATAAAAATATTAAACAATAAAAATTCTCACGACGTTTCGACTGCAACACAAGCAGCAATCATCATCAGGTGTGAAATCCACAGCAATAATTTTTTTAATTGTTTGATATTTTAATTATTTTATTATTTCCCTTCTACGTGACTTTACCGAAAGAACCAAGAATATGAATCCCTGCAGTCACGAAAGTTTTAAATCAAAAACTAAACAATTTGTTATTTTGCCAGGTAAGGCCCACTGAGCTATTAGCTATATTTCACAAGTTAACTGGCCACAAATGATAGCTTAACGAAGTGGCTTATCATCACATGGCCATAGTTACTGTGGAAATCCAGCGACTGATTAATTGCTTGGCAATGGTGATGGTTATGGACTCCATCCAGTTGTAAGATTTAGATTTGACGTTTTTATGAGAAATGCAGTACTGTGTTGGATCAGTTTGCTACAATGTTTGCCATCGCACACAGCACAGGCCAACAAAATAGAAATCTAAATGTGGGGTATGCAGCAATCAACCAATAAGGAGGGGAATCTCTTCCCTCAAACAGGAACAGCTGGTAGCCTGGGCATGGCTACGCCAAGAGTGAAATCAGCTTCAGGTGCTTACAGTTTCCTTTTGCAAAGGGGAGCATGTAAATAGAGTGTGCCAGTGCCCATAAACGAAATTATGGGTCCAATATACATTTCGATTTAAAGCTTTCGTGACTACAGGGATTCATCTTCTTGGTTCTTTCGGTTAAGTCACGTAGAATGGAAATAATAAAAGAATAAAAATAAAACATAATGAAATAATTCTCACGACGTTTCGGCCACAACGCAAGCAGCCGTCCTCAGGTGAAGAACAGGTCTGTCGAGAAGACAGTCTGACCGTCTTCTACGTGACTTTACCGAAAGAACCAAGAAGATGAATTCAATACACATGTTTGAACCATTTATTTAACGAACTCGCTAAATATTTCATGATCATTTTTTCGGGCAGGAACGGGTCACTCCACCCATGCCTGGTGTACTGTGGCCTACTCTCCCACGCTGGCCAGATGAATATGAAGAAGAGGGAATACCCACGCTTTGCTCCCATAACAACAGCTTAACACGTAGGCTTTCGCGACCAATATTATTCATAATCAACGTTTTTGGGTTTAGATCGCGTTATTTATAAATGTGTCGTAACCCTCCACCACCCGACACGGCCAGGAGGATTACGACACATTTATAAATAACGCGATCTAAACCCAAAAACGTTGATTGTGAAAAACAACAGCTGTTCACCCATTTACACTGCTGGGCGGACAGAGGTGGCGGTGGCGGCGGTGGGGACGATGAGGAACCTCACCCCCATCGTCGTTCCAATTGCCGGGCCCGCGGGGGGGAGGCGATCAAATCGAACCGGCGACTTCTGGGCCGCAAATCCGCTGCACCGAACCCGCTGCACCGCTGTGGCAGCGTCCATCGCGAGCCGACGTGACCATTCGTCAACGTATCGATGCATCGTCGTTCTAGCCCCCTGTCAAACACCGTCCTAAGCGATCGCAAGTATTTATTTGAAACAACAACAAACAGCGCCCGAGTCAAAAAAACCAAAACACCGGGATTTTGTTTACCTGCAAAGTCCCGGCAGGTGTCCGCCAGGCAGCCCTGCTCAGCGAGCACCTGGCCCAGCGCCTCCTGGAGCTCCGCCTCCTCCCGCTCCTGGTCCCGCCCACCGGGGGCCGACGAGCCAATGAGGGAGTAGACGAAGAGGAGCAGCTGCAGGATGTCGGCGGGCTGCAAGTCGCCCTCCTTGCGCTCGTCCCGCGGCTTGATCCGGGCGCGAAGCTGGCCCAGGACGCGCGGGAAAGTCGCCCTCTTTCAGGATCTGCACTCGCAGACGAGCGGGGAGGAAAACAGTGGGTTTATGTAACGAAACTATCGCAATAATGGGTTTAGTGAACGAACCTGTTAAAATAATAAACAAACACATTATTTTTATTTACTAGGTAAGGCCCCACTGAGATACGTAGCTTTTTTTTTTTAAACGAGCGACCCATTGCAAATGATAGCTCGGCAAAGTGGCTTATCACGTGGACATTTACAGCAGCCAAAATACTCCGGGGAGAGAGAACATGCAAACCCCAAATATACAGACGTCAGGGTTGAGATCGAACCCACGACTTCCCGCATATCATCGTGAGGTGGTTAATATCTCCTAGCCACCGCGGACACCTACGTTTAGTGAACGAACCGTTTGCACCTCCCGATTAGCACATAGTTGGCTACGTAGGGTGCGAAAGATCCTCGGTGTGCATTGCGAGCGTTAGGATCAACGTAAATGGTTGAATCGATGTGTCGTCTCGAGTCTGCGGATCCCACCAAACGGCCTCTGAGCTGCTTTGTTTTTTGGACATGTCTTCTAATTGCGCTGATGTCGAGAGACGAAGATATCTCTCATTCGTAAGCACTGTCCAAGAAAACGTTGTTACAGCGGTACTTATGAGGTCCGTCCATTCCACTGACATCCTTTATCCGCTGTTACAAGCCCTATGAAGAGTCTTGGTCGCATGTTAGTAAACACTGAAGTGTGTTTCCTTGTCAGAGATTTAATGAAGGCGAAGTTAGTGTTGTGGCTTTCCACACAGGACAGTGGTTGGCATCTGAGCTGGGTCCATCAACTCGCTCGGTTCAATCACAGGCGGCTGCGATAAGGAAAATACAAACTCCCCAGTCGTGTGCTGCGACTGTGGTCATCTAGAACAGATCGCACAACGTACAACGATGCTACGCCCGATCCACAGATACTGAGGAGACACCACGGCGAGGATACACTCCGCTCGCTACTCCTGACGCGGTTAGCTTGGCTTGGCCACCACCTGAATGTAAAATTGTAGTTGTTGCTCTGCATCTACATCAGTCGTACAAAAAAATAAGAATAAATTAACTATTTTTATTTTACCAGGTAAGGCCCAATGAGCTGTATAACTCTTTTTCCGAAACGATCTGGCCACAAACTGATAGCCCAATGAAGTTGCTAATCACGTGGAAATGAATAGCAGCCAAATACACGTTTCTAAATGTGGAGGGAAAAACCGCAGGACCGGGAGAATAATCCACGTGACCACGGGGAGAGAGACCATGCAAACTACAAATATACAGGCATCAGGGTCGAACCCACGACTTCCTGTATACCAGGCGAGGTAGTTAACATCTCGCTACCGCAGTGCCCTAAGACGGGTGGGGCTGGTGACAGATTCAAACAAACTCTGCATATCGGCGGTGATGGCTCGGCATCTCCGGCACGGTACAGGCGCCCCCCCCCCCCCCTTAGCCACCCAGCAACCATCATCCCAAAGTACTCTTAACTCAATTTCCTTCGCTTAGAAGCCAGCGGCCCGCTCGTTCAGATGCAATATTGTGAACGTGCGAGACCTGGATACCCGTGCAAGGAAATGAGTGTTATTACAGTATTTTCTATTTTTTTTCTTTTCCAAAAAGTAGTCGCTGGGTAATTTGCAATTTTGAGAAGCGGCGAACTTTAAATGGGAAGCACATGTGGAAAAAGTGACACGGGGGTTGCGAACGCTTCGCGGCAGACAAATATGAAGAACAAGGGGAAGAGATGTTGATGATGACGACGTGAAAAAAGAATGACGTTAGGCTAGAGGATAATTATCGACACTGACAGAAAGCGGTACAATTTAGGACACGCGTGTTCAATAGAAACGTGTTAGGTAGAAGGTGGAATTGAAACGTGGCTTTCCATTAAAGAAGCTTAAGTTAGATCCATAATATACGAAGAACACCTTGTTTTTATACGGGAGAGTTTCAAGTGAGCCTCAAGACCCTTTTCAGGAGGACGCTGAATCCGACCGTGCGCTCGGAGAAAACCCACGCATACGAGCGACATCATCCAAAGCGCCGCACAGATGGATTGCAGAAGTTTCACAGATCTGTGTGATCCACCAGCCTCCAAAGTCAACTATATATACAGCACGTCCGATCTTGGCCACTGTGGTTCGACTGCTTGAAGCCACCGCCGTTGACCAAATCTGCAGCCGATCTTTTTTTTGACGGTAAGTCATCGCTTAACGCGTGGTGTTCACAATACGACGCGGTTCTTCTACCCGGGAACACTTTTTGCACAATGCGGAAACGGCGCACCGTTACAAAGCGGAACGTGCGCCGTTCCGACGTGCGCCGCGACCGACGACGACGACGACTTTCTTGAGCTGCACGGCTCACGCGCGGAAACGAAATGGTACAAGCGGCGGCGTAGCCCTCATTCTTGCTTCTCTGTGCAGCAGCCACGGGGTGACCGCAGGCTGCTTTTATAGCACGAATTTGATTCAAATCAAATGCCCTCCCCGCCGTTAATGTGACATAACAGCGATTCCTCGCTTGACACGGCACTTTTCAGGAACGCATTTATCGGCGTTAAACGAGGAGTCGCCCCGTAACTGCTTTTGCCTTGCGGGCGAAAGAAGGTTTCCGCGTATTCACGCCGATGACCAATCACAGCGTGGCGGCACAGACGGCTCGCGTTGATCGGAACAACGGGGTATCTAACGTGCAACGGTCGAGTGTGCAGGGATGGTTTGGCTGCTGATATCAATTCTCACGTGATGATAAGCCGCTTTGCTGAGCTATCATTTGTGGCCAGGTCGCTTCTGAAAAATAACTATAGAGCTCAGTGGACATTATCTGGTAAAATAAAAATAGTGAAGTTTCAGTATATTTATTTATAGTGGACTTGCTTACCTTTCCTATACTTTGCACTCCTATTGTTTTTGTTTGTGTTTGTTGTTGTTGTTGTAACTTTCTGACCTGCCCCTACTGGACACCTGTGAAAAAGAGCTTCATAACTCATCGGATTTCTCCAGGATAAATAAATATTCTGACTCTGATACACACCAGACCCAGTTTTCCCAAATCCTTTGTAATGTAATTGCAGAATTCCAATGTGCATGTACACATGGGAAAGAGACTGGCCTCGGTCAGAGGAATGTGGAATTGCCACCAGAGCCACCAGCGGTGATGACTTTGCATCTTGTTGATTTGGCTTCATTAACCCAGGAAGTCTCACGACTCATTTTCAGTACGCTCCTCCGTTAGGACGCTTGGCCAAATCGTAAATTGACAACGTGTCGGCATGTGGACAAAAGCCGAAAGTAGGCGATGTCAACCGTGGGGAAAGCAACTCAAACCTCCGTACGGACGCGTCGGCAAGCTACCCGCTCGCCGTACTGCCCCCGCGAGATGCCACTCTGTTGCATGTTGGGAAGAAAACCAGCGCACCCGTAAAAATAACCACGCACGCTTCGAAGACCGACGCTCAAGAGAGGTCCGCACCTGCCGGCCACTTCACGGCCGGTGAGCCAGAAGTCTCACAGCGCGGTGGTAATCTCCGTGCGATCCATCAACCCCACCTGGACCACGGGAGTGCGCGCATGTCCCGCGAGGCGATGACGCAAGCGCCGCGGCTGCACTCGGCTGAACCCAAGTCGAGCTCCATTACGGACTTGTTGAAGACATCAACGAGCGCGTTTCATTTAACCTCCATTAGGAGAGTGAGTAACGATGTTTGAGAGCGCGACGGATGCGTCAAATGTCATTCGCATTGCAACACGGTCGGGTAAAGTCACCGATGAGATGTAAGTGCGTGGCGGCAACGGCATTAACAAAACAAACTCGCGGGGTTCGCATGATGGACCGGTTAACCGTGGCCGTTTAAAAAAAAAAACAGCTCGAGTGTGAACGCACCGAACGCTGCGAATTGCGAGCACGGCCTCTTGAAATATTTTACCCATTACTTCAAAAAAACGTTCTTCTTCTGTTTTCTATTTCTCACAGCGATTTGGCCGATTTTTAAACGCCAAAGTGTAAGCAATTAAAGAGGAAATGGTACTCAACATGAACGTTAATTAATTTTAATGGACACATTTAATATTTTTCCCCGCAATGTAATTACATCTGTACTCCCGGCCTCATGGCTTGTGACATTCGGTCGTCCTGGCAGGGCAATGCCTCACCCCGTGCGTTAGAGGATGGCCCGTAGAACTAGATATCACAGAACTACTGCTGAGCTACCTTCACGTGGCCTTTTTCGACCAAACACCACGTGGGCACACTAGCTGCCCATGCGCCCTGTTCCAGAGAGGAACGTTCCATGCGTGATATTCAACGTGATCATTTGAATTATCAGATGCTCGATTGTTTCTCAAGTAAGCGGAACAATCAACGTGGAATGCGATGGATGTTGTCACGTAGTCATTTGGTGAGAGCGCTGAATCCATCAAACTAATAATTTTTTTTTAAAATCGGGTTTTATCATAGGTGGCTGAAACCCAGAATGGAGCGCAAGATCTCACCAGGTTTCAGATCTTTGCTGTGAACCTTGAACCACATGGCTACTTCGCCGGAACTAATCTTAAGCCTTTCTCATTCCGAGGCATAGGCAAGTCGCAGGGTGGGTGTCCCGTTCACCGCTGAATCTCGGAACGCGCAATCAGCTCGGCGTTCATTCTATTTACAGAGGCGTAGCGCCGCTGTTTTTAAAAACATTGTTACTCACCGCAGAGAACCGTAGCGACACGACCGCACTCTGTGACAGCTGGCGCCAAACTGTGCCACATTCCCTCCCGCGTGGCATTGTGGGAGCCTCGGTACCGATTTTTATTTTATTTTCACTTCTGATTTCGTTTTCATGGTGTACGCGTACGCTATCGGAACGGGAAAGGGATCAGGGAATTTGAGTCCTGGCAACCCCTCCATATTTTATCAACAGATTGGTAAATGAGTCGCTTATAGTTGGACAGGACCGTACCCTGACCTCTACAGAATTAACTTTACATTTGAACCACAGTTTAATTATGCTTCGAAACC